TGGCTAATGTCAGTTTCTTTAGCTGAGCTACCAAAAGAGGAGGGGAAAGGAATTTCCACATCTTCTAAATTTGATTCTTGCTGATTGCCAAGAAATTTAGAGATATAAATAATAAGTAAATAATGTTTGAAGAAACACTGAAATGAAAGATCCCAGAAGATGGAGCATAGGCAAACATTACATTTACAAAAGACAAGGTTGAGGGTGAAGGAAGACTAAATTACGTAAATACTAGAGTGGTGAATCTGATGTTGGTTTTCTGTCAGTTTCTAAAGTTGGTGCTTCATCACAGGATTGTGACCTGTTGGCACCATGGATTCACACAGCACAAGTCATTCACAACCACTCTTTTAGAGGATGCTACAAATCCAAATCTACTGTGATTTTTGCAAGAGGTTTGGTAAAGTGTATCATGTCTTTCCTTGATAGGAAGGGAGAGTGCTCACTGAATTAGAGTATCCCAAAAATGTTGATTGATTTTTTGTTGGTAACAGTGTGTGAAATGAGGAAATGATCTTTCATTGGTATGATTATAAAGAATGATTTTGCATTGATTACATTAATGATTTTTGTAGCCCATTTAAGCAGTATTGTGCATGCTGTTAGTTATCTGCCAAATAAAGATTTATTGTCTATGAGGGTAAATTATTACTAACAGCCTCTGATGGAGGGTGGGTATCAGACTGGTGATTGAACCCAGGGCCTTATGCATGCTAGGCAAGCAGTCTATCACTGAGCTACATTTCTGGTTCCTAAAAGTTTATCTTTGTACCTGTGGTTTGAAATGCATGCTTTATCATATACTGCACATCCATATGTGATCTGTCTTACCACTGGACTTTGTTGTCTATTTCTCGGAATGGTTTGTTTACTCATTGGTGAATTTCCCGAGGCTTTACCTATCAATGCAGATTTTTTTGTTCTGGGGTGGTGCTGGGGATCAAGCCAGCAAGTGCTCACCAGACAGCCCTGTCTCTAGTTTTTTAGGGTCTAAGAATCTGAGAGATAAGTGAGTATATGCTAGTAGTATAAGTTTTTGCCCATGTAGCCTGACCTATACATTACATTTTAGCTAAACCAAAACTTGCTGGTGTGCTCCTTGCCTTTGTATTGCTGACACATACTGATCTGGATTATGTTCGCAGTTGTTGCCATGAGAAATTATTGTAAACTTAATGGTTTCAACATTAAGTTTGTTACCTTCTAGTTTGTGAGAGAGAGTGAGTCCTAAAATTAACATGTCAACAGGACTGTGTTCTTTCTGGAGAATTTGTCTTCTCTTTTTCCAGCTTCTAGATGATACCTTCATTGCTTAGTTCATGGCTCCTTCCTCTGTCTTTAAATCCAGCAGCAAAGCATCTTCAGATCTCTTGTGTCTGAGCTCTGCTCCTCTTCTCATGACTCCTTCCCTGATTGATACTGCTGCTTCATTCTTCCTTCCTCTCCCTCTCCCGGTTCTGGGGCTTGAACTCAGGAATGCCTCACCGCTGAGCTGTAGCTACTTCTTTCTAGATTTTTTTTTGATTGAGATAAAATTCATGAAATATAAAGTTCATCATTTTAACTTTTTTTTTGGTACCAGGGATTGAACTTGGGACCTTGTGCTTGCGAGGCAGGCGGCGGCACCACTGAGCTAAATCCCCAGCCCTATTTTAACTACTTTAATTTATAGTATACTATAATTTGATGGTTTTTAATATATTCACAGTTTGTACAGCTAGTGCCACTCATTCTAGAGCTTTCTTCTCTTATAAGTCAACAGAAACTATATATATTTTCTGGGTACAGTGGGGCGACTTAATATATACTGAGAACTAATTAATGAGCTAATTAAATATATTCATTGTGTTACATTTTTGTTATAAGAATATTTCAGCTCTACTCTTTTAGTGAACTTCATGTATATAAAACATTACTATTAACTGTTGTCACCATACTCTACAATAGACCTCCTTCCCTTGTTCCTACCGGAATTGAACATTTGTATCCAACCATCTCATGAAATCCCTTCCACCCTCTGTCAACAACTTTCTACTGCTTTGAGTTCAATCTTAGATTTCACGTAAGATCAGATAGTATTTGTATCTCTGCACCTGGCTTATTTCATGTAGCATAATGTCTTTCAGGTTTATTTATATTGTTGCAGAAGACTAGATTTCCTTTTCTGAAGCTGAATAGTATTCCATTGCATGTGTACACTCTGCGTGTTCTTTACCTCTTCATCTCATTGGACACTTAGGCTGACTTCTTCTCTTGGCTAATGTGAGTAGTGCTTCCATGAACGGGCTTGGCCAGCTGGGGGTCTAGCTCAGTGGTAGAGTACCTGCCTAGAGTGTGTGAGACTCTGGGTTCAATCTCCAGCATGACAGAAAGCAACATGGGGTACAGTGGTGACAGTTCCTTTGGACACATACCCAGAAGTGCGATTGTTAGGTCATGTGGCCCTGTGCTTGTTGTTTTAAGAAAACTTAATGAAGCCCACTGTTTTGTGTCACCAATTTACATTCCCAACAGAAGTGTGTGTGGAGTTGCCTTTTCACTGCATCCTCACCAACGTTTGTTAGTTTTTTATCGTTTTGGTTATAGCCATTTTAACAGGCAAGGTGATATCTTGTGATTTTAATTTGCATTTTCCTGACTAGTGATGTTGAATATTTTTTACATATGAACCTGTTGGTTATTTATATACCTTCTTTTCAGCAACATCTTCACATTTTTTGCCCATTTTTAAATTGTGTTGTTTTCTTATTGAGTTCTTCAAATATTTTGGATGTTAACTGCATATCAAATACATGATATACAAACATTTTCTACTATTCTGTAGATTTTGTTGATATTTTTCTTTGCTGTGCAACTTTTTAGTTTGATATAACCCTCCCCATCTAATTTGTTTGTGTTGCCTCAGTTCTGGAAGTTGTAGCCAAAAGCTCATTCCCCAGACTAATGTCCTAGAGCTTTTCTCCAAGTTTTATTCTAATAGTTTTGCAGGTTCAAGGTTTAAGTCTTTAACACATTTATGAGGGGGCCATAATTTATATGTCTTGCTGCTGGCTGGATTGAACTACTGGTGGTACATGTATTAGGTGGCTTTTTGTTAATTTTATTTGTAAAAAGACCGATGAAAGTGATTAGACCCATTTGTACCGTGAGTTATAAGCTGCTCAATGTGACAGTCATCCATGGCTCAAGCCAGCAGGAATGTGTTCGTTTATTTTGAATTAGTTTCTGTATATTTTGTGAAATAAAGGTCCATCTCTCTTTTTTTTGTGGGGGAGACAGGATCTCACTGTGTAGTTCAGGCTGATCTTGAACTCACTGTGTAGCCCAGGCTGGCCTCAAACTCATGGTGATTCTTCTGCCTCAGCCTCCTGAGTGTTGGGGTCACAGGCATGAGCAATCACACCCAGGTCCATTTCATTCTTTAGGACTTCTGTAATTGGTTTAACTGGATAATCTGGGATAATGTCTCCATCTCAAGATTCTTAATTTAATCACACAGAGTTCTTCCTGCTCAAATCTCATGTTCTGAATTTTCTGTTTAGCTTTCTCTTATTTCAGCTTCTTTCCAGCTGGTTTTACAATCTTTTTTAACTTACACTGCCCAAAGTAAACCTACTTCCCCTTCTTGCATTTCTTTTCCATTCTGGCCTTCGTATCTTTGAGATACTTTTACTCTTTTTCTCCCATGGTTAAAGCCTAAACCACATTTTCTCTTTTTCCCTGACTATTCAGTGAGTGTTCAGGTCCTTTTTATATTCCTTTTGGTCTTTCTGGTAACACCTTACTCGAGGTCCTGTTGGGAAGGGTCCTGTGGTGCCTGTAAGGCATTCTTTAGTGAAAGCGATTGTCAAGATGGAAAAGGTTTCAAAGTTGGGGAGCCACTCTCTCACCAAATCCATGCCCAGACTCCTGTTAAATAACCGAATCAGCAGATTCCTATGTTTTACTTTGCTTGTGGAACCCGCCTCTAGGGACACTTGGCGAAAGCTTGGTGTTTACTTGTGTGTACATTGGTACCTTTGCATCAGTTTCTGCTTTTTGATTACAGTTTTTCCTTCTCGTGAATGCATGCTTCCCTTGCCCCTGAAGAACGTGGTTTTAATAGTTGTGTGATGCCACGGGATGCTGACTTGGTGCTCTCTCTGCACGGTCCTTATTTCTTACACAGTGATGACTTATTGATCTTCCAAATGAAAAGAAAAATAAAGTGCCTAGTGTTATAAAGCTTCATGTTCCAAATTCTTCTATCAGTCATGAAGTAGATGGCTATTTTAACATCCTGTATTTTCCTCTTTGATTTTACTTTGGAGTTAATTTCTTTCTCGTAAATTCTTCCTACTGACCTTCTCCTTTAAGGCGAAGTTACTTTGCACTTAAAGAAATGTGAGAACATTTTGTTAGCAAGCGAAGAAAGATTGACTACCCCTTACTTGCTCTCTCTCTATTGTGTCCTTCCTTTTTTCCGTCCCCCTCCCAGTTTGTCTTCGCTCTTTCTCCTTCCTCCTGTGTTCCCCTAGCCTCTTCCCTGGGTCTGTTACTGAGCTACACCCCCAGCCCACTGGCTCTTTCTGAGGGGGGACAGGACAGTATCTTATAGTATAGATTAACTTCATACTTGAGTCACATGTTCTTCACACTTATAAGAAATAGTCATTATGGGTGAAATATCTGCTTCAGAAGTGAAATGTTGATGGATTATTTCAATGAATAGGGTATTTTAAGTATTTTACTTACCTTTTTAATCAGAGAATTTTAAAGAAAAGTTCAGTAAAGATTTTAGCGTACTACAATAAAGCCTATTTCTTTGCAATAAAATTTAGGGTATTAAAATAAAGTCATTATATTTCTTTGCAATAAAATGAAAGTATTTTCAGGCTAGTAGAAAAATTAAAAATTATTGCCAGATTTGAATGAAGTAGCCAGAAGTCATAAAATACTTATTTTTCTGAACCACATATGATGTCTTTATTTACTTTTTCTTTTATGTTTGGGTGCTCTAGAGGGGTGTTTGATGCTTCCCTCAAAATGGCTGGCTTCTATGGATTATATACCTGGCTGACTCACACTATATTTGGCATCAATATTGTCTTCATACCATCAGGTAACAGTCATATGATAACTTCCACTGTCCTCTGCTTAAGGAGTTAGTCATGTTACATACATTAAGAAATGTCCTCTTTTTTAAATTTAGAATGAATTTTGTGGCTCAAGATGTAGTTTAGATTAGGAGCAGAAATGTGGTTTGTAATGTGCTTGTTTATTTGCTGTAACCCCAGTAGCTGGAATCGTAACTAGCACATAGAAAGTGCTACATAAATATCAGTTAAATGAATGAATATCTTAGCACTTGGTGCCCGATATGTGAATTGAACTAATTGGTAGGAGCAATGTGTCGTCAAATAGCTTTGTCCCAGGAGGGATGTTGTTCCAGGAGCCAAGTGAATGTGTTTGAGAGCACATAAGCTGCTTAGTGACTATTTTGTTCTTTTTTCTGTGTTCTCCTTGCAGTTTTTCTTTCTTTATTCCTATTGTTTTGTTTTCCTAATTCTCTCTGCCTTCCACATGTGCTTCTACCATAATTTCTCCCACTTACAAGTGTTCCTTGTTCATTTTTACATTCCCAAGTTCATTTGTGTTCTTTCCTCCTCTGGTGCCCATTGGGTGACATGCAGGCTCTCCAGGATCATTCAGGGGTTATTATTTTCTAATCACTGTGACACAGGAAGGTAGGTGGTATTCTTGCTGTATAGATGAGAAACCAGTTTTCCAAACATGGTTAATGGTCAGACTAAAGTTTCCTCTTAGTCTGGAGGGAAGCCAGATAGAGACTGAGTGCTTGTACATACTGCTCTGGAAGTGGCCAAGCTTGAGGTCAGGTCCATTAACTTACAGGGATTTTGTCTGTTTATTTGTGTTTGTATTTTGTTTTCATTAGAAGAAAAGTAAAGAATATACATTTGTATGTGGAATTTGGAAACTATTTATTTTTTTGAGATGAGGTCTGGCTTTGTAGTTCAGGCTGGCCTCGAACTCAGAGCAGTCCTCCTGCCTCAGCCTCTGAAGTGCTAGTTGCCACCACATTTGGCCTGGAAACTAATTTCTAATTTGACTTTGGACTACAAATTTTGACAAACACATTACAATTTTATTTGTAGGACCATATATCAACTAACCATCACTTCAACTAAGATTTTATCACTTAAGAACAGATTCATAGACACACGCTAGAAAGATTTTCAATAACAAATGAAGGTGCAATATCTTCAAATATAACATGGGACTGGAGATTCAGCTCAGTGGTGCTGCCACTTAGCTCTCAAATGCAAGGTCCTGAGTTTGATTCCCCCATGCTAAAAAAAAAGTTTTTTATTTTAACAAGAAAATTCAGTTAGAGCATATATCATTTCCCCCCAAAGAAGAATTTGTGTGTATCCGTGTAACTTGTTTTGATAGCAATTTTTAAGTAGGAGGAGCTAGTGCTTTCTGCTGTGTTAGGATTGTTTTGCAGATGTTGTTAAATTGCTTTTCTTTTAATGTTTTTATTAGCTTTAGCAGCAATCCTTGGAGCAGTGCCCTTCCTGGGGACATACTGGGCAGCAGTCCCTGCAGTTCTAGACTTGTGGCTGACACAGGGATTAGGATGCAAGGCCATTCTGCTGTTGGTTTTTCATCTCTTGCCAACTTACTTTGTAGATACTGCCATCTACTCTGACATATCAGGGTAAGTATTCTGAAGTTAATGGTGAATCATGCAGGGAGTCCTATTATTTATTGAAGGAGTTTTTTGTTTTTTTTTGGTTGGGAGAGTGGGGTAGAGCAGTATGAGAGAAAGAACTGGTGGCAGGATTTTTCAGTAAATTAACTTCCTTTGTTCCCTCTGATATAATGAAATTTTAATTTAAAAATAACACTTTGCAAGACATATGTTTTGTTATAATGTAAGTTTTATTTATGAAATAGGATTCCTTGGGCTAAAATTGTGAATAAATTTTCTCTTGATTTTTGTGATATTTAGACTGGGAAAGAAATGCTACTAGATGAAAAAATAAGTACAGTACACAGTAGTTAATTTAGCATGTCTTTGATTTTGGGGAAAAAGTTTATGGCATTTATGTCTGAAGAGTGTCCACTAAATATTGACAAATTAATATTTGATAAACAGAGCTCTTGACAGATGAGACATTAAATTCAAGTAAGAATAAAAATTTAGGTCATATAATAAGTATCTTTCCATTTTTGTAGGTTTTGATAGCTCTTGTAGAATTGCGTCCAGTGTGGGTATGGTGGCTCACACCTGTAGTCTCCACACTTGGGAGGCTGACACAAGAGCATAGCGTGTTTCAGTCTAGCCTGGGCTACGTAGTGAGCACTGTCCCAACCCTCAGCTCCCATCCCCAAAAAATCGAAGTTGTGTCAAATAAATTCAGCCAACATTTAGATCACTAGGTTCACAATGCTTTTTTAAATAAAGAACTTTGAGAGTATGACCTATGAAATTGTCAAAATAGTTAACACGTTCAGTTTTCTTGAAGTAAATTAGAGGCAGGCAGGGTCTAAGTTTATAGAAATAGTACCCTTCAGTTAATTTAAATTATTTAGAGGCCTTTGTGTGTTTCTCTCACATAAGTTAAAGTAGAAAATAATTGCGGGCAGGGGATTTAGCTCAGTGGTTCCGCTGCCTGCCTTGCCAGTGCAAGGACCCAAGTTCGATCCCCGGAACCAAAAAAAAAAAAAAAAAAAAAAAAA